GCAGAGATGGCAGCAGCCCGTCCAGTGGTAGCTGGTACCAGGGGGGTTCCCATGCCTTTTTTTTCTCCCTCCCTCCCAAACTCCTTTCAAACTTCCCAATGCCCCTAATGAGGGGTTCCCGGGAAGCTCCCCAGCCACTGGAGATGCAGCTGAACAACAAGGAGGCAGGATATAGGGGCAGCTGTGCCAGTGTGGGGCTTAGCTCTGAAGGGGTCCAGCCTCTGCTGGAGTCAATGTGGCTTGGGTCACTCCCCCATCAGCCTCCTCCAGCTGTCCCACCACAGCTCTGTGCTCAGAGAACACAGTACATCCAACCACGGCCAGTCCCAACTGCAGCAGCCTCACATCGGCAGCCCACCTGTGCTGACACCACGCCGCTGTCTCCCTCGCCCACGACCACAGAGGGTCAGCAGCCCAAGCTCACTGGCGCTCACCCACCTGTGCCAAGGGGGAGAGACCAGACAAACATCCTCTTGGTCCTGTTCACAAGTGGGGCCTGCTAAGAGGCTCCTTACATGGAAATGGGTGAGACAACCACACCATCCATCTCTGGGACATAGGCTAGGGTGGGGAATCAATTCTCAGGAGGGGTAAGAGGAGACCCTGGCCCTAGGAAACAGCATTATTTCCGAGTGCTAAAAGCATCTTTGTGGGGCATGTGGAGAGAGAGATGGTAAAGAGAAAGGCAGCTTCCATGCCACAAAGGCCAATGAGTGGCCACGTCACTGCTGAGCCCCGGCAAGCAAAGGGTGAAGCTTTTAGGCAAGCAGCGGCCAGTGATCTCAGCTTCCCCCAGTCCTAATGCTCCTGAAAGGCTCTCTCCCACTCCCTGTAATTGGGCATCAGTAGTTAATGCAGTATTGACTGCATTACACGCTCCCGTGCCTCCCCTCGCTAATGCCAATTGCATCACCTTGTACAGTCACCGGCTTGCTTGGCCAATAGCCGTTAAAAGCAATCCAAATCATGAATCATATGGGAAACTTTTAGCAAGACACCGCCATCCAAGGAGACAATTTACAGTTGAGTTAATCTGGGTACATTAGCGAGACATGGATTCCGGACGACAGACCAATTTATGTTGTTTCCCTGTCCCCCCACACCCTCCCCGCCTTAGAGCTCCATGTGGGCAAATGAATGGAAGAGCAGGGAACAGAGAAGAACCTGCTTCTCTACTCAAGGCTCCAGCGCGGGCGGGGTGACTCATCTTTCTGGACTGCTGGTGGAGTTCGGAGGAAGGGGAAGTAACATAGGAGCTGCTCGAGACGTGTAATGTTGATTCCCAGCAGAAGCTGCTGCTGAGGCCACATGGAAGACAGCAATGGAGACCCTCCCCTGCTAGCAGGGATGGTGTGCCAGGTCTCCTCTCTGCCAGTCAGACAGCTCTTGGAAGGTGGCAGTGGTGCTGGTATCTGCCTTCCTGCTGACAGGCTGGGGTCTCTGGCACGAGGGCCCAATTCCTTACTCCCTCCATTCTGGGGCCAGGGTAGTGCTGGTCACCCTCTGCTGGTAGAAGCCCCCAGGACCTTCTGTGGTCCAGAGGCAGCATGATGGGACAGGCCAGGAAGCCTGTTGGGGCTGAGCAGCCACCTCCACTTGGTTGCTCAGTCCCAGGCTGAGCCAAGAGCCTGCCCTCGCAGATCAACGAAGTCAGCTCTGGAGGCCACGCTCACAGCAGTCATTAACAATTGAAGACTCACTGTCTGGGCCTCCTCAGTCCTGCTCCATTCTCCGTAGGCATTTGACTTCCTAAAAACGCTCTAGGAATCATGTGCTCCATTTAGTTCCACACCTGCCTGCTGCTTCCTGGTGACCTGGCTTTCTGTCGGGCCTGTGCAGAGGAGCTGACACCCAGCCCTGCCCCACCCTCTCCATCATGCACTGGGGACATCCCTGGGACCACAAAGGAGGGGTTCACCTCCTCTGTCCCCCACAACTTAAGGTTCTGACCACATGTGGGGTGACCTGGCCCCCCCACTGTCTGTCCATAATCAAGGGCCTCTTGGAGCCCCCTTTACTCCCCTGAGACTTCAAGCCTCCCCAGGAAGCCCACAGGCTGGTGCAGCCTTAACTCAGGTGTCGGGGAAGAAAGGCTGTTTCTCCGGGAAAGTCAGAGCTGGCCTCCCTTTCGCTGACAGGCAGGCCCGACGGCATTTAGAAAGCCCGGACCCTGAGTTCCAGTAAAGTGGAGATGGCTAGGCCAAGAGCAAGCGTCCAAATGAAAGCAATTAATCTTAAAACGCGAAGTTTAACCGTTTGCAAAACAGATCTTTCCTCTCTGTGGTGGCCCTTCACTGCTCGACCTAATGGATTACTTTATTAATAATGCACTGTGCTTAAAAGCAAAAAAAAAAAAAAATTTTTTTTTTCTGACGATTCAATACTTCAGAAAGTCTCTTAAACCCGTTGCTACGGTAAAGCGATTGATATTTTATTATCTTTCAGAAGTGCAACATGAAAGCCCCGCAGCCCAGCAGAGCAAGAGCTTTGGTCCTCGGCAGCTGGCAGACCCGACTTCAACCAGAGGAGGCCCAGCCTCTTCTGACAAGATGCTGTCAGGTGGAGAAAAGATATTGGGGGTAATTAATAGGAGCCCCGAGTCCCCAGTGCAGCCAATGGGTGCAGCGCCACAGCTCTGAAGAACATGCTTCTTGGGGGCCAAGCTGCCGCCCAGCCTAGATGGCCACCTGCTGGGAGGGCACGAGAGGGGCGGGTGAATGAATCCTGGGTCTTTCTCCTCCCCTAAACGTAGGTGCCTCCTTCAAGGTTTCCTGGTTTGGGGGACACCAGACTCTGATGGGGTGTGGAGGGTGGATTTATGAGCGGAAAAGCTGGCTCCTGGAGGACAGCACCAGTTTGGGCAGAACGAGAATCAAACAGCTCCTGAGCTTCCAGCTGCCTGCCTTCCGCGTCTTGTAACGGGGCGCAGAGCTCAGCAGTGTCACTAGGAGTGGGCCCGCTATTGTGAACACCAGGTGGTAGAAGACTGAGGGACACGGGGTGCTCTCCTCCAGGGCTGTTGGGGACTAGGGGAGCCATGGGGTGGCTGTAGCTCGGAAGCAGGGGACTCACTAATAACTCCAGAGATTCACGCCCACTCGGGTCACCTGAAAACCGTCTTACGGAGTGGGCAGCACTCTGGGGTGCCTGGACAGCAGCTAGATGTGAGACCCTGCGTGATGGTAGAGGGGGTTCTGGTGGAGGGGGTTCTGGTGACAGGAGGACAATCTCCCTGCACGATGTGTCCTATGCATTGGGCCCTGGTCTCCTGGCTCCCTGGCTTGGGCCTAGAGAGCCGAGCATGCCAAATAAGGCACAACCTGACTGCTTGCTACCATTATGCGTTTGCGAGTACTCATAGACAACATGGCAGTCCCCTGTGCGGGCTTCCCCTCATCCTTCATTTTACCAAGAGGGAAAGTGAAGCTGGAAGTGACCATGAGAATACAGGGAGTTAGTGACAAAAGGAGCTCAGTCAAGGCCTCCTGGCTCTCTGTGTGGCCTTCTACAGAGACCAGTTCTCTTCACTTTTAGCACACAGTCACATCAGCAGCATTCTCTGATGACCCTCACAGGGCTGGAGGAGAGGTTCATGGAGAACATACTAAGACTGATGTCACACCCAGCCAGACTATTTTGGCTAAAAGTATTTAGTTCCCTCTTTCCTCTCTTACTAAACACATGCCAGGAAATGGCCTTCACAGACTTACCTGCCCGAGGGTTCCCCCAATGCCAGGCACCTTAGATGGCCAGCCGCTGGTGGGTATTTCAGACAGCGGTAGAGGGGTAGAGGGCACGTGGCAACAGAATAGTGCATATCTTCTGTCACCTTGAACTAGCCATTTAACTTCGAATTTTTACCAAGTGACCATGTCAACACCACCTCTGACCTGGTGGGCAGAGGGCCCGGGCCGGTAGAGACTCACTAAGATCACCACCACAGGAAGGCCACCACAGTCGCTATGGAAGGATTTCGACTGATTCTCAGCACACCCTGACTATGATCTCTGACCAGTAAAAGCAGGCAGCTGTGTGGGAGCCAACAATTACAAGTGCCTCTCTGTATACCACCATCAAACCAGGCAACCCTTGCCTTGAGGCCAGGAGGCCTTGGGACACCCCGTGGAGGGGCGATCTCCTAGCTCTGGAGGCAGAGATGCCGTTGGGTTCCCAACCTCTCCTGAGCTCCCAGGAAGCCTACAGCAGGGCTCCCCAGTCAGAAGGGCTGGAAGTAGGTGGGACCACCTGCCAGTGGCTTCCAGTACCCAGGGCCAGGCTATTCTGACCCCTGAGGCATACTGGGGCTCCCGACCAGGCCAGGTCTACATGACTCCTGACGGTCACTCCTACAAGCCAGCTACTGGCCTGACTGTCGGTGGGTAGCCGACACTTTCTTCTTCTGGGCCAAACTACTGCCTCAGCGCTCAGGAAACATTATGATAGTGGGCCAGAAAGGAGGTGACTCTCTCACCCAGTCACACTCCAGGCTATCTCCCCAGGAATCGAGGCGGCCTTCCCCACGTCAGCCGGGCACCGGGGCGAGCACGTCCCGCGGGCCAACATGGGCTCGGGAGTCCCATTCTCCCGTAGCCACTGATTTGCCGGGCGCTCAGCGCCTCTCAGGTTACGCGGCCCGCGCGAGGGTGATGGCTGCGGTGAGAGGAGCAGCCGCAAAGATGAAACGCTCTGCGCGAACCGACACTGAGTGATCCGAGGGGAGCCAGAGCCTCCACGCGGCCCCGCAGAGCATCACACGGCCAGAACACAGCTCTGCTACCAGCGTCCTGGGCCCAGGGGCACACAGCCCGGGGCTCAGCGCCCCCTCTCCCGCCCCCCACTTACCCTGTCCCACCCGGCCCTCTCCCTGCTGCAGCCTGGCACCTCAGCACCGCCCGGCATGTGTTCGCCAGGGTCCCAGCGGGTGCATTCCCCCCCCACCCCCCCACGCCGCGGCGGGGAGCGAGGGGGTGCAGGGCGTCGGGACCCCGCCAGCCACCTACCGTCCTCCTTGTCCAGCACCATCATCTCGGGCGCTCCGTGTCCAGCCGCAGCTCGGATCGGCCAGGTGAAGGGCGCCGACTCCGGGCGCGCTTCGGCTGGGCGGCCGGTCCTCGGGCAGCGAGCGGGCTCTAATTACCCGCTTGTCCGGCTCTTAACCTAGATTGCACTCAGCTAGAATTACATTCAGGAGTGAAGCACTTCGCAGATACAAAAGCAGTCTCACCTACTTTTGTGCCTCAGAATTGCAAGGAACTACGAACTGCAATTTAGAGAGAGAGAGGGAGAGGGAGAGGGAGAGAGAAGGGGGAAGAGAGGATCAGAGCCGTTTCTTTGATTCTCACCTTCTAAATGGCTCAATTTGCCCAGTATAATCTGTCTTAATGTAATTGCATTTGATAGCTCATAACCCTGGCTCTGGCAACGACACAGCTTTCAGCCTCATAAAGTGTTTTCCCCTCGGATTTAATCTGAATCTCAATCTAAAATTATATTCAAAGAGATGGGGGAATCTCGGCGGCCGTCTCCCGCTGCCTTTCTCCCTCAATGTATGAGGTTTGCACTCCAGCTACTGAATAAATGCACACATTTCCCGAGGCCCCCCTCCCTCCCGGGTTAATGGGGAGTGGAGACGCGCGGCTGCCCGGCTCCGCAGCGCCACCTGGAGACCACTCCGCCCCAGCTGGGCGCTCGGCTCTGCTTAGGCCCCAGGGTCCTCATTCTGGTTGTCCAGTGGACCACCTCCTGTTACTCCCCCTCGGGACTGATTTCTGCAGCTTCCCACTCAGACGATCTTTCTCTGACGCCTGCTCTGCCGAGGTTTTCTGGTTGTTTCCCGAACTATTTAGCAAAGTCAACCCTCTGCTAGGCACAAACTCCCACTGGGCCCCTTCACCGCCCTACTCCAGAGGACCCCTAAGAACATCCTGATTTCCTAGAGAGGGGGATCATGTCCCAGCTGCTCTCTGGACAAGCACAGCGAGGCCTTGAAGCTGTTTCTCATTCCATAACTATTTACTGAGCATGTATTAATTGCTAAGCACTATTCTAAGGCACTGGGGATAGAGTAGTGAGTAAAGCTAAGATTCCTGCTGTTATAGAATTAAGAGTTTTGCTTTGTAACTCAGGCAGAAAGAAGAAAGACCGTGTTCGCCCCTGTTCTCCCTGGACCCTGCTTCTCCCTGGAGCTCTGGGGCTGGGCTACCTACTTTAGGAAGTTGCTACCTACTCCAGGAAGGGCACTTTAAATCCTCCCCCCCCCCTTTTTTTTCTTTTCTCTTACAGCACAGAGTTTCATGATGAGGTAGAAATCATAATGGTCTATTTTCAGCCCAAGAAGGGCTCTGAACTGAGATGTTGGAAATTCATCCTTGCCAGTTGCTTCCGATGACAAGATCCAAGCAAGGAGGAAAGCTGATGTCCTTGGAGGGGTAAAGGGCCACCATTTGGGATACATCCCACCCCTAACCATTACTAACTATGGATCTTGGAAAGTCACTCTCTCTCTCCGGGCCTACTGTCCTGACTTGTGGAGTGGGAGGCCTGCCCATCTATCTCTAGGGATAGTGGGGAACAGATGAGATAATGCCTGTGAACATGCTTTGTAAATTGTGCCCCCCCAAGACAATGGTAATGGTGGGGGGATTATGGGTACAAAGAAGACGTAAGGCTGGGCTGTGTCCATGGATGCCCTGGGAGGCCCCCGTGCAGGGTGTGATGAACAGGGGTGGGATGGGGGACCGTGTGGCAGCCCTTCTTCCTCTCTCCTAGGCAGGGAAGTCAGGCTTTGAGAAAACAGACAAGAGCCTGCTTCTAATGAGATGCCTCGTCCACAGCTCAGAGGGTTTCCTTTCCTCTTCATCTTGAATACTTAATCCTAATAGTCCTTGAGTATATTTGATGTTAAATATATCATTTTGCTCAGAGTCCCTCAGGACTTCAGGCTTGATCTCTCTTCTGCCACTGCAGCAGGAGCCATACCCTAAGGGTCTGGGGGAGGGAGGCTTTGGCACCGCTGCCACCAGCACATTTAGTGCCAGTCCCTCACTCTGACCTGAACTCAGGGTCAGACAGTAGTTCAGGGCTGACAGGCCAACAAGAGGGAGCTTCTAGCAGGCGCCTCTGTGCTGTACTCCGTGAGGGCTGCTCCTCCCCACTTGCAGAGTTTCAGGGTCTGGTTCTGACTCACAAACTAGAACTCGACTGAGGCCACCTTCCCACTCTGTCATTCCTATGTTGTTCCCGGGATGCTGTCCAACCCCATCACCTGCCCAGCCTCCAAGGTACATAGTTAGCAACACAGTTGGCCTCCCTCTAGGGAGTCGGGGGCCCCTGTGCCCCAGCCTAGGGGCAACAGGTTGCAGAAGCAGGTAGGGTGTGTCAGCAGAGGAATGATGGTGCATGTGAAGAGCTTCGTGCCACAGGCAACTCGCTCTGCAGGAGCATGGAACTCGCACACTGAGAAGGGCCACCACAGAGGCCTTTTCAGCTACAGAGCTGCCCAGCGAGCCTCAGAACATTTGGGTGGCTTGAACCCCCCCCACCATGAAAGGGCTGGCCTGAGCTTCACTCATCCAGCAGCCTGGTTCTTGGATCAATAATTGCTGGGCAGACAGGACCCATGTTCACCCCAATCCAAACTGCCTGGGGGTCCAGGGACACACCCATACCACACAGCTGAATTCTCAGATCCCCTGGGGCTAAGGGAGGTAGTTTGCACCTAATACATTCCACAGGTGATCAGTTTGTACTCTCACAACACCCTGAATGCCTGTGGGGACAGCAGAGAGTCCAGGTGATCAGCCCCTAAGGTTACAGTTGAGCACAAAGAGGTGCTAGTGGCTGCCTTATAAAGTTTGGGCAGGTCTTAGTCATCTGTCATTGCACCTGACAGGGAAATCCTGAGAAAGGGAACAAATTGGGGTAAATAAGGAGTGGGACTTGGTGCCAAAGGGCCCAGGCAGACCAGATATTCCAGAACTCTCCACTGGAGGCTGTTAGATGTGGCTCAGCCTAAGTGCTTACTCCTGGCACAGTGCAGCTGTCTCCAAGACAGGGTTTAATAACCCTAATGCTGGCCTCCCAGATGACACTCAGATTGGTTTTCAGAGTGATAAGGGTCCCATCCCAATGGCTGCCACAGTTGCTAGGCTGGTACAGAGTGAAACCTACAGACTGCAACACAATCAGAATGCCTGCTGGCCAAGTTCAGATGCCCTGACCTGACCCCTGTTCACACAACAGTCCATGCACAGGAATCTGTAACCAGCTAGAATGGAGAAGTACACAGTCAGCAGACTTCCTCTGGGTTTCTGGAGAGCCCTGGACAGGCCTTCTAGGAAACAGTTCTAAGTTGTGAGGCATTATGGAAGCCTAGGTCAAAATTGCATTCCAGAAAACTAATCTCCCCCACCCTCCTGAAGAAGACCAACCCACTCCTGCCCTGTGAAGGTTGTAAAACAAACTGAAGAGTTGCTCACTCAAGTGGAAGGCAGCAGAGGCTGGGGACAAGGGGCTAGTGAGACCAGAGAGAGGCTGCTCAGCCAGAACCTTATCTGCAGACCAACCAGGTCCTGCTCACCTCCACTGCCCCGCCCCCCATTTTCTTTTTCTTTCTTTTCTTTTTTTTTTTTTTAAAGATTTATTTATTTATGCATCCAGAACTGGGAACAGGCCAGAGGTGCAGGGGTGGTGAGAGGATTCACCAGACAGAGTAGAGAGCAGAACAGGCAGACATACGAAGTACCCTGCTGAGGGGAGCAGCGAGCCCCTACAATTTTCTATCACAGGGCTTCTCAACACTAACAAACTACCCTAGCCCTTGGAGAAGGCCCATGGTACAGAACACCAGAGCTGTAAGTTCTCCTAAGAGAATGACCAATGAAATGGGGAGGGTGTAGGTTAGATGCAAAATGCAAGATTTTGTGAGGTCCAAGTTTACTCGTACAACTGGGGGGAGAAGGGAGTAACCTCTATAAGAAAAGAAATACAATTCACTAATATCAAATGGCCACGGAAGGACCCAGAAGCTAAACTTCCTTAGTTTGTAGGTAAATCTAGTCTTCTTGAACCTGATATTAGGGCCCCAGCCAGAGCAGCGCCGCCCGTCAGGCTAGGCTGGAGGAACTGAGAGCGAGCGCCCTCCCCAGCCCTGCCCCGGGTGAAGCAAAGTCACCCAGTTCTCAGCTACGAAGGTCCAGATCTGAAGGACCCAGGGCCATGGCGATTTGACAGTTGCCTCCACCTTAGGTCCTCCGGCACCCTTCTGGTGACGCCGTTTTCAAGCTGGGGCGGCATAGGGACGTGCGGACACCCAGGCGGGCCAAGAGACTGGGGCGGGGTGGGGGCAGTGGACACTGCTGGGCAGCCCGCGATGCTGGTCTGAGCTGCGCTCTGGTTGCCCGAGAGGCGGCAGGAGCAGCCAGAAAGTTCCCGGCCGAAATGCGCGGAGCTGGAGGGCCCGGAGTGGTGCGTGTGACTGCCTAGTCCCGCTGAGGAACCCCAGGGGCTGAGCGTGGCACCCCGGACACACGCACCCGCGCAC